TTCAAGGAGCTACAGATGGGGGTGCTGTGAGATACTCTGGTAACCTACTTATTTCTGCTTTATCAACCTTGGTTGCAAAAAACGGGGTCCTTTATGAGTCTACTGAAGAAAATAATTATCCTCAGAGGAATCTGAGCCCCTAAACACTTGCTCTGAATTGTGTAGCAAGTTCCTCTGAGATGAATCACTCTAACTTGGAGGGAAGCTTGTTGAGACTTAGGATGTTCTAAAGGGAGGTGAAACACTCCATCCTGCAGGCCACCTGATAGGACTCAGGAAGTAAAGGACAAGTGACCCAAATGAACTAGATTTACTAGGTCCCTCCTTCTCCAAGCTTAAGGACTTCTCCAGGCAGTAAGGACTTCCGAGAGATCCTCTCAGACAAGCAGAGCTGCCTAAAAGAGGCTCAGATCAGCTAAACCACCTGGAAGAGGCAGAGGCCAGTGGAGCTGCCTGGAAGACACATTCTCTGACATATCAAGCTGCCTGCAAATTGGTTGTAAAGTGTGCTCCAGGGATCCAACTTTCGTGGGCTGTCACCCATGCTGGGTGAGCTTTTGGTGATACAGCTGTCTATGAGTCATTTCTGTTCTTGTAAGTACCCCCCCCACACACACACACACTCATGTTCTTGTAAGTAACCCAATAAACCCCATTGCTTCATCAAGCTGGGCTTTGGTAGCATCTATAGTCTGTTTCGTTTTCCATCTGTGGTGAGTAAATGCTTGCTCACATCTACTACTTTGTCACAGAACACCATCCTGAGTTCCAGATAGTTTTTGTTCTTGCTTGGCTTAATATATTGTGTCAGTGGTAGAGAATGGAAAACTGCACAATCATTGCCAACACCTGACAAAATATGATGGGGAGGCATTGATTCTCCTAAGAAGAAATAAATAAAATTAGAATATAATGTAGCTGGGAATGGTGGCACATGCCTTTAATCCTAGCACTCAGGAAGCAGAGGCAGGTGGATCTCTGAGTTCAAGGACAGCCTGGTCTACAGAGAGAGAGAGAGATTTCCAGGACAGTCAGGGTTATATAGAGAAACAAAAAAAATAACAAAAAAAATGTATATAGTGATTCCACCATGCTTATTTGCCTACCATGCTCTTAACTTACTTAGAGACAGCAACAGCTTTAACTTGTATTTTTCCATCAGGTAGAGTAATAGGTTTTATATACTTAAATGTATTATTTTCACCAGAACCAACTTTCTTTAGGAAGTCAGGTTTGCTGCCATCCAGGGTGTAATATATGTTGACATCTGGGGTATCTGAAAAATTCAGAACAGGATAACCATAATTAACACTGAAATAACAAGTCCCTGTGTACCCATAATCTGTTTAAAAAAAGAAATGAAGAAAGAAAGAAAGAAAAAAAGAAAGGAAGGAAGGAAGGAAGGAAGGAAGAAAGAAAACACACACACAGAGTAAGATTCTGGTCTGTGCTAACACAGTACTTTGCATGAATGAACTCACTTCATCTATTCATCTATATTACGGTATGACGTAGGTCCCAATTTGTACCCATTTTATAGATGGTAACTGAGTATACCTGAGAGATTAATGAACTTGCTAAATAACAAAGGATTTCCAGTTCTCACATAGAGACTCACAATTCTGTAAGTCCAGTAGCAAGGTATCCAATGCTCTCTTCTGGCCTCAGTAGGTACCAGGCAGGCATGTGGTACACAGATATGCATGTAGGCAAAATACCCATACATATAAAATAAAAATAAAAATAACCACCTCCTTTGCCCATTGTGTTATTCTCTTTCATATCTGACAGTGGGACTTCTTTATTTATTTGACATTTAAATATTAGAGAATATAGAAACACATCATCACATTCCAAGTAATAATCCCACTTCTTCTAAGTGTTTTAAGTGTTAAATTACTAAACATGTTAGCCTTTCAGATAAAAGAGTCATAGTATAATAGTATATATTCTTGGAAATCTTGAACTAGGGAGCCTGGAGATAGCTCTGCAAATGCAGAAAAATACTTCTATATATCTAAGCTATCAAAATTAAATAGGTAGATATGTAATTGGAATCTAAAAGTCTTAATACAAATATTTGCTCATATGTCTTATCTATAAAACTTTGCATAAATTATTTATATGCATTTATAAACAGCCTTAATATTAAATCTTATTTAATATTAAATAATACTACTAATACCATGTTCTGTAATAGTTAAGATTTATTTATTTTTGTTTTTTCGAGACAGATTTCTCTGTGTAGCCCTGGCTGTTCTGGAACTCTCTCTGTAGATGACGATGGACTCAGACTCACAGAGATTCACTGCCTCTGAGTGCTGAGATTAAAGGTGTATGCTGCTGCTGCTGACACCATCCAGCTAAGATTTCTTTTATTATAAGATAAATTTTGTGTACCTCACATATACCAATTCAATATGCCTGGATATACAACAGTATACAGCAACTCACTTCATTCTCATAGTGGCTCCAGGTGGTAGATATGATTAGCCCCATCTTACCATGAGGGCATGGGCACTCAGAAAAACTAAGTAATGTGCTCAAGGTCATAGAGATTGTCAAACTGGAATTCAATCTGTAACCCTTTGTACTGGAAAATCTGTATCTATAGGTAAATTTGTTATCCCAGAAAAGTAACAAGCATCCTGAGAAAGGTTGGGACACAATTGGATATCTTACCTTGGCTTAGGTGAGTCAAGAGGACGTTGCAACTAGTAACCCATTTTTATTTAAATATATATTATTCAAACTGGTGTGGTGTTACATGCCTGAAATCTCAGCAGAGATAGGAGGATTGATGCAAATTCAAGTCCACCTGAGCTATAGATTGAGCTCAAGATTGTTTTGGGCTATATAATAAGATCTTGTCTCACAAAAATGCATATAAACCATCAAAGAACAACATTTATAATTTGTAGAAGATTTAGAAATTTCTAAGGCTCCAATATAGAAAACATACAAAGATATCTATTAGCAACACATGAATGCAGAGTATGACAATGCTATTTTAAATAATTCAAAATACATGTAATTCCTACCAGATTTCATTTCCAAAAGAGTATTGGTATCAATTTCATGGTTAGCTTTTCCAGGCTGGGGCACTCGCAGTGGTATGATCTGAGGGGCACACACCGAACCAGCCGTCATTTTCTCTCCTTAGTCCAAAAAAAAAATTAGATTCAGAATTCCATCATGAACCTATATCTGAACACAAAAACTACGAAGTGCCTCTTTTTAAAAATGCAGCAAGCCAGTAAAACCTACAGATAATATCATTAATATGCCACCTACTGAAAATGCCCCATTTAATAAATGAAATGATTATTAAATTTCAGCTGTATGTCTGCTGTTGGGTAGTCACTGTATTACATGCTTTACACCTAATAAAGGCACACAGATGAATACGTCAGAAGACGGGAGCCATTTTAGATGGGCAGATAAATTGAATGAGGCAGAACAGAATCCACACTAATATTCTGTCCTTGGTTCCTTCAAGATCATTTATTTGCTCTTCATTGCCTTCAGCCAGAGCACACATACACACTCACTCTCCCGACTTCAAGGCAATTCATTACATAAGGGAACAAGTAGCTTTGCACGCATCAAGGATTATTTAGAGGCAGCTTTCAAAAGAAGGTCTACGCCCCACAGTCTTACCTTCGCCATTGCAGTATATTGCAAATCAAAGCTGCAAAGACTGCAGAGCATGCGTTCTCAGGAGAAACGAAGCTGACATGAATATAAACCAATAAACACAAGATTCCTATTCCTACTGTTTTGTAAATAACATCCAGATAGAGACCTTATGCGTCTTTTCTTTGATGTGGGGAGGAGTTATCGTAGCACAGCATTTGTACCTTGCACTGCTGTTTCAATTATGGCTACGTAATCAATATGGTTACATAATTATTCAATTATAATGTACATATTCATCCTATTTTTATAATAAACATTTTCACCCTCATTTTTAATTACAATTTGTCATGCAATAATAATTTGCTGTTCAATGGTGAGGCTATTTTTTTTTAATTTGGTAATTGGAATTCTGATAATGAACATTGCGTTTTGACATACCTTGTTCTGGAAAAAATGGGCTAATTAGATTTTAAAAGACGAATTGCCAGTTTGAGGACCAAGAATAAAAAAAAAAAAAAATACAGGTACTTCACCCTTCAGAAATGAGGCTGGACGCGGAGGGATTTGCCTATGATGACATTTCCTTTCCAGTGAGTCAGTTAAAATAAAGATAGCCGAAAAACTAGATGCTAAATAAACACAGAGACTAATTTGCTCACGGTTAGCTATTAGCTGCTCTTGGAAGGCTGCGGTGGTCAATGGATCTCACGAGGAGGAGATGAAGAAGGCTGATTCGCTAGTCCAAACCGCAGCCTGCTGTCAGTGTCATGCCACCAGCATCTCCCAACATCCGTCACCTGGACCATCTCCTCGATGCCCAGACCAGGACCCGCTGCGTCAAGCCCTCGGACTCGCGAGGCAGTCAATGACGCCTGAATCCCTCCCAACCGAATGGGTGAGGCCCTCCTCCTCACCTTCCTCCAGCCTCAAGGACACTGATAAGGACCCCCGACGTACCTTAGCAGCCGCCAACCGGGTGTGTCTAGTCTTCTACGCCCGCTGCACCACTGCACCTCTGCGGCAGCTTGCGTTACCAAAGACGCTGCAAGCCGCGCCCGCCTACGGGGAGCCGAGCCGATGATTGGCAGGGAAATCGACTGCCTAGCAACCAGCTCCGCCCTTGTCTCTGGGCTGAGGAGTCTGTCTGGTACCCGCCCCCGCCTTCGTCTGCAAGGCTTTGCTATAGGTATCCAAGAATATGCCTTCTCGGCGGCTGGAAGGGCCTGAAAGGTTGCGCTCCTACTCACCGTACGGGAGCCAGAGCCTTTAATCCGACAGACACTGAAGTTCCGGACAGCAGAAAGGAGACCTTGTGGCGACACTGCTGAGCAGAGCGGAGCAGGCACAGCACGGACGCCCCAGGCCGACCTGACGAAAGCCCGGCGCGACCGGACGAAGAAGGACCCTCGGCCGCCGGGCGCGCGCCTCCCCGGCCCCCGGGGCGACTTTTTCTCAGGTCTCCAAAACCGCCCTTATGGCTGAGGTGAAGGTGAAGGTGCAGCCACCGGACGCGGATCCGGTGGAAATAGAAAACAGGTAATGCAGTATTCCCGACTCAGGGTGAGCAAGTCAGCCGGGCAGCCGGACCCCTTCTCTCGTAGGCCCGCTTAGTGGCCGGAGCGGGCCGGGTGAGCACGCGGGAGCCGAATTGCGGGGTTCTAGACGCCCCCCTCCGGAATTGGGAGAGCAGAACTCTTTAGTAGCTGAAGAGCAGCGTTGACAGCTTGGAACCTTATGTAACTGGCTGCGCCAGGATTCTGTTAGGGTAGTGAGGACGCACTTGGAACCTGACGACGGCCAATGCCTGAAAAGAGACCCGCATTTCCCCTGTAGTCCTTGGTCATGTTTGAATTCATGTTCCATCTCAGGGTTGCTTGGTGTCCAACGGAAATTCCATAAGAGAACGTACGGGCCAAGTCAGGGTTCAGTTTGTGATTTCAAAGCATCATTGAGCCAAGTAACTTGAGTGAAGAGTGCCTTAAAGCCAATACTCCCCTGTAGCGTGCAGATATTTTTGAATTATAATGTAGGTAAAAGACAGCAACTTTCTCATCAGTTGTGGATAATACATTTATTACTCCTAAGGAGATATTTGAATTTGTTTGGAAGGGATAATTTTGCACACAGACCCCAGTTGTGTATCCCACACATCCCATCCCCGTATTCCACATTTGCCTTCTGTGACAGACCTAATGGCTTCATTTTGTTGTACTTATTCCCACTGATAATGTATCTCCCTCATTTGCCTTTTGAAACAAGCAAACGTAAATCATTAATACCTTTATTCCCAGAATTATAGAATTGTGCCACCAGTTCCCTCATGGAATCACAGATCAAGTAATTCAAAATGAAATGCCTCACATTGAAGCCCAACAACGGGCAGTGGCCATCAATAGACTGTTGTCCATGGTAAGGTGAATTCAACTAATTCATGTAATTTTTTGTATATTATGATTTTCCTTGCTTCCTGTCACATAATTGTGATGGTTAACTTTATGTGTCCACTTGACAGGGAGATGAGATTCCTAGGTATCTGGCTATATGCTGTTTCTGGGATGTTTTGGAACGTGGTAGTATTTGAAGTGTTAAACTGAGTGGGTAGGTGAGTGGGCACCATCCAATCTAGTATCAGCCTAAGTAGAACAGATAAATGGAGGACCAAGGAATTTACTCCAGACCTACTTTGAGTTCTTCTGTCTTCAGGACTCTTTGTTCTTAGGCCTTCAGATTCCATCTACACCATTGACAGTCTGTCTCTAAGGCTAATGCATCAGATCTATGCCATTGATCTGTGCCACTGGACTTTTTGAGTCTCTGGCTTGAAGGGGGGGATGTTACAAAACTTCTCACCCAACATAATCACATGAAGTAATCATAGCATGGTAAGCCTCTTTTTAGTGAACCAGTACACTAATTGAAAAGCCAAGATTGTGACTTGATTCCAAACCAGAGAAAGATTAAATTGTCTGAATTGAAAGAGAAAACAATTATGTGCCGTTTGACAAGATGAAGAAATATGTACAATTCTGTTATAGTTAATTATATTATTAGCTTAATTGACACAAAAGCACACATGGATGTAATTTGTTCTCACCTTCTTTTGCTTTCTGCTGATAGCACCTAGCTATTCCCTATAAAATATTTCCATTGTGATTTTTCTGTGAGTTATCACATAGCCTGTTCATTGGGTATCACAATGTCATTCAGAGCTTTTCAAGAGCAGGGAGAAGTCCCCCTGAAGGTCTTTGGGAAGAAGTATAGCCTCAGCTTCCAGAAACAATGCCATGGATTTTTCAGTGAAGCCCAAGAACCTGAAGCCCTAAAGCTTCTACTTCCTCCAATGTTTGAAAAACCCCACCAAGTACTGCCCCATGCTTTAAATCTGCTTATGTCTGTCTTTCTCAAGCCATTGAGTTCTCTTTTTCTTTCTTTCTTTTTTTTTTTTTTTTTTTTTTTTGTTTGTTTTTTGAGACAGGGTTTCTTTGTGGCTGTGGAGGCTGTCTTGGAACTAGCTCTTGTAGACCAGGCTGGTCTCGAACTCACAGAGATCCACCTGCCTCTGCCTCCTAAGTGCTGGGATTAAAGGTGTGCGCCACCAACGCCTGCCCTGAGTTCCCATTTTCTGAGGGCATTTTGGTTTTATTTTATTAGCAGTTAGTTAAAGGAGTCCTTAAAACTTTAAAACTTCCTGCCTTGTATTCTGTCTAAAGCTTTGGCTAGGGATCAGAATTTGGCAAACTTTCTGTATGAACTGGTAATAAAATATCCTCTGTGTCCCATCGGGTTTCTGTCACAACTGTATTTCTTGTCATTTTAACAAGAGGCAACCACAAGCCATGAACAGGGATATGTACACATGTGGGTGTGGCTTTTTCTGATGAAGTTTTATTAGTAAGAAAACAAGCAGTGGCCTAGTGACTTTTGTTTTCACCGAAAGAAAAAGAAGTGCTGGAGATTTCTGGGCTTCCTTGTTATCCTTTAGGACTCAGCTCTGCTGCTGTCTCCAGGAAGCTACCTGAAGCCCCCAGGTTGCGCCGTAGTCATTTCTCTGAGTTTGTATCCACCCTTGTTTCTCTCTTAAAGCCAACCAGATAGTGTTGAAATCATCTCTGTGCTCCCTTTTTAGAATTTGTTTTGCCCTGGGAGTGTAGCTCGGGGGTAGAACACTCACCTAGCTTGCATGCTGCCCTGTGTTCAATCCTCAGCCTTATAATTATGTCAACAAATTGTCCCTTTAGCAGCGGGGGTCAATGGTACAGTATAGGTGTTTAGTGAGTGACTAGAATAGACTGAATAAATGACAGAAGGAAACTTCTGAATTCAGTTTTTGTGGTCCCACTTTGCCATTTGGTGTATTAGGGGAAGAGGGAGGGTGTTGCAGTTTGTCCAGTGTGTAAACATATTTTACAGTCTTAACACATAGTAGGGCCTCTTCTTGGTTATAATTTCCTGTAACTGCTGCAAGTCCAGTGGTACACACATCTGGATTATTCAAATGCTAGGACACAAGGAGGTTCAAAAGCATGGTAGAACATTCTTTATCTTACTTTGCTTCATTATATAACATATTAACACTAGAGACCTTTCGTTCATTGGTTGACCTTTCTGCCTAATTCTCCTATCACAAAATTAAAATTGTACATATTAGTAAATGTCAATAATTAAACTCCATAGTTTAACTTTTGTGTGCTGTTAAAATATTTATGTTTACACTTTATCTGGACTGAATTTTTATTAATATGAATTGTCTTAATTATATTTATTCATACTTTATGTAATTTGGATTTATTTGAATTTCAATATGGATTTTTATATTATCCTAAAATAGCTTTAAAAAGAAGATTTATTTACTCCGGGCAGTGGTAACACATATCTTTAATCTCAGCACCCTGGAGGCAGAGGCAGGCATATCTCTGTGAGTTCCAGGCCAGCCTGGTCTACAAAGCTTCACAAAGAAAGCCTGTATTGAAAGGTAGTGTTTTGCCTGCATGTATTGTCTGTGCATGGCATGGATGTCTGGTACCCACAAAGACCAGAAGAGGGACCTGGATTCCCTGAAATTAAAGTCACACATTGTTGTAAGCTGCCATGCTGGTGCTGAGAACTGAACCCCAGTCCTCCTTAAGTACAGCTCTTAACTGATGAGCCTTTAGCTCCCAGGGTTAAGAATACTTGCTCTTACAGAGGACTTGAGTTTGATTCCCAGTACCCACATACATGATGGCTCACACCTGGCTGTAACTGCTGTTCCAGGGATCCAATGTCCTTCTTTGGCCTCCATCAGCCATGTATACACATGATTCACAGACACACATGTTGGCAAAATACCTATATACAGTAAGAAATACATTTTTTAAAAAGTTATTTATGCCCTGGTCACATAACTAAGCCAAGGTAGCATTTGAGACATTGTTAGTATCTATCTCCTGTAGCTTGAACTGTCTTGAGACAGTTAAGTTTTTTAAAATACTTTGTTTGTGATAGGTAGGCAAAATCCTTAGTCTCAGGTGAAGAACTGACACTTACTGTTGGAATTGATGTATTTCCAGAGTAATTAACTATAATTTTCTATTTTAAAACACTTTAGGGTCAGTTGGATCTCTTAAGGAGTAATACAGGCCTTTTATATAGAATAAAGGAGACTCAGAATGCTGGGTAAGTAAGCACCTGTGTTTTTTTGTTTGTTTGTTTTTCTTCAAGATAAGATTTCTCTGTTTAACAGTCCTGGCTATCCCGGAACTCAATCTGTAGACCAGGCTGGCCTCGAACTCACAGAGATCTGCTTGCCTTTGCCTCCCAAGTGCTGGGATTAAAGGCATGTGCCACCACTGCCCAAGCACCTGTTGTTTTTTAATTTTAAGAAAATTTTAATTATATAAATGTAATGTATGCATTAGAAAAAAAAAAGCTAACATAGTAATAGGTATTGTGGCACACACCCAAATCCCAGAACTTGTGTGGTGATATATTATTTATGATTTGTTAAAGCTTGCCTGAGGATCCAGAAAAGCAAAGTCAGCTTCAAGCTGTAGTGATCAGGCAGTGGTGGTACCCACCTTTAGTCCCAGAAGCCAGTAGCTAGGTGGTGAGGTACATACCTTTAATCCTAGGACTCAGGATTAAGAGCTAGATGGATCTCTGTGAGTCCAAGGCCACCCAGATCTACACAAGAGTGAATCAGTCTAAAAAAGAATTATAGCTCACACCTTTAATCCCTGGACTCATGAGAGGTATATAAGACAGGTCTCAGAATCAGGCATTCATTCTCCAGCCACACTGAAGATAGGAAGGCTCAGTATCAGGTATTCATTCTCTAGCTACATTGAGGATTCTTCTGCCGCTCTGAAGAAAGGCAGCAGGATCAGCCCATTCAGCCTGAGATAGTAGTAAGAGTTTGTGGCCCACGACTTTGCTTTTCTGTTCTTCAGCCTAAAGTTTGAACCCAAATGTCTGTCTCCAGATCTTTTATTTTTGGTGTTACACACTTGGGAAGTGGGGAAGAAAGTTTAGTGTCATCCTTAGTTACACAGCAAGTTCAGGGCCAGCCTGAGCTGTGTGAGACTGTCTCAAATAAATAAACAAATAAATAAATAAATAAATAAATAGCATATAATATATATTATTATGTGTGAGTGTTATGTGTCTGTCTGTCTGTGTGTCTGTGTATACATAATGTAGCTAAGTGTGGTGGTGCACACCTAATATCCTGGCGCACTTGGAGGGCCAGAGGCAGATGGATCATGAGGTAGAAGACAGTTTAGGCTATACATCAAAAGACCCTGCCTTACAATAAGAAAACAAAACAAACTGATGTAAACTCATACCATCCCTGCTTTCTGTCCTGTGTTTCCATTTCCCAGAGTAATTGTTCTTGGTAATTTCTTCTAGATTCATAGGTGGTTGTATATTTATATATTATCTCTTTTTTCTTTCTTCTTTTTTACAAAACAAAACAAAACTGGATCATGCTACCCATACTGTTCTGTAACTTGTTTTTTTTTTTCACTTGTTGTACCTTGAACATGTTTTCATGTTGGTACACATAGCTCTGCCTCATTCTTTTTAAGTTAAGCCCTTCTTTTGGTAAATAAGTCAGTGTGATGGCCTTGGCTGCTGATTAACTTAAGTAGTTATGCAGATGATAACACAACCCACATTTTTTTTTTCATTTTTAAAATTCTGCTTTGTTCCCTGCAGTAAAATGAAGGGGTCCGATAACCAAGAAAAACTAGTCTACCAAATCATAGAGGATGCAGGGAATAAAGGTGAGCATGTGAAGGATGGTGCACTGTCTTTAGGTCTATACCTAAAGTGTTTCTTTGTTCTGTTTAGTTCATTTTATTTTTAAAGAGGGAATTCCACTATATAGTCCAGGCTTTCATGTTATCTTCTTGCCTTGTCTTCCTAAGTGGTGGGATTGCAGGCATGCCTGACATTTGCAGCTAAGCACATATGTTTTGTACATATTCTCTTCCTGCATGTACAACTTTCTTTTGTGGAAAGAAAACTCATGGCTTCCCATAGTAGGTATTTAGTGAATATAAGAACCACAGCCTTATTTTTTTCTGTCTTACAAATAGAATGTTGCTTAAATAATAGAAGTACATGCATTGAAACTGCTAAACTATTGTATTTTTTTGTTGGTTGAAGATGACAGATGACACCAACCTAAATTTAAGTTCCTTTTTTCACTTTTACTGTCTTAAGTGAAACTCAGAAAGTTGAGATTAGGGTAAAGGATTGAATGAGAGATAGGATAAGTTAATTCAACCCCATTCATATGTTTTTCTCTATTACAAGGTATTCTTGTTATATATTCTTTAGAAGATGCCCCACTGGATGATGAGGCATCCCTTTATCTTAGCACTCGTGAGACAGAGGCAGGTGGATGTCTGAGTTCATGTTCAGCCTGATTTATGCAGCAAGTTCCAGGCCAGCCAGGGCTGCATAGTGAGGCCCTGTCAAAAAACAAAAACACACTGGGATTCAAAGAAATTTCCAGTTAGAATATAAAACATACACCTGGTTACTGACTCTTTTGTTTCTTTATCCAATTTTTGTTTTTTGTCTTTAGGCTCTTTAAGTTTCTGAAAGCAGTTATAAAACTTTGTGTTAAAGGATGTGCTGTCAGCTTTTCTACTTTCTTACAGGAATATGGAGCAGAGATATTCGATACAAAAGTAACTTGCCATTAACAGAAATCAACAAAATTCTCAAGAATTTGGAAAGTAAAAAGCTTATCAAAGCCGTGAAGTCTGTAGCAGTAAGTAGTTGGCTTCCTGGGTTTCCCTCATTATGCTCACTTAAGTAAGCTGTTCCAGCTGTGTTTTCAGCCTTTCATTCTTTAATTCATGTTGGGATTTAAGACAAATGTTTTAAAAAGGACTAAAAATTTAGCTCCTGTTGTACTGACTTGAAACTGTGACCTACTGTACTCTTGATGTCTTGCTATTCTAAACTTTGTACTATATTCAGTAAGAAAGTCTGGAGCCTTGAGTACGTTTCCTAGTTTTCATGTTGTGTGAGATAACTTGATTTATCCTACATATTATCTTGCTCAGCATGTGTCTATTGATTGAGCTATGTCAGGTACTGCTCTGGGCTTGGAATACATTAACAACCAAGTCAGAGAAAGATCCCTTTCCTATGTCTCTTACACCATGTTTGTGGTTTTCTTTTCTTTTTCTCTCTATCTGGAATATTTAGTGATAGAAAGATGACCTATCTGGGTTGTTTGTGGCACACACCTTTAATCCCAGCACCCGGGAGGCCGAGGCAGGCAGATCTCTGTGAGTTCGAGGCCAGCCTGGTCTACAGAGCGAGTTCCCAGGACAGCCTCCAAAGCCATAGAGAAGCCCAGTCTCGAAAAACAAAAAGAAAAAGAAAAAAAAAATGAAAGAAAAGAAAAAAGAAAGAAAGATGATCTATTGGGAAGACATTCATGAAATGATGATAATGAAGAAGTCATGCTGACAAGGCAACACAGTATGACTCCCAACTAGGTGACATTGTGGCAAAGTAGAACTGTTAAGACAGTAAAAAGACAAACGTTTGCTGGTCTTGGAAATAGGGTCATAGGGAATATTGAGTAGATGAAGCACAGTAAATGTTTTGGAGCAGCTAACTATTCTATACACAAGAGTGTTAAGCGTGTGTTGAAACCTGTAGACACAGCACAGAGTAATCATAATTGTACTGTTTTATTTTGAGAGAGAGGTAATGTAACCAGGGCTGGTCTTGAATGTCTTGAATGCAGGATCTTTTCTGCCTTAACTACCTGATTGCTGGGATTTACATGTGTATGCCACCATGCCCAGCTATCTGCATTGTTTTTTTTAACTTTTATAAAAGTCGATTATAAATTAGGGGGATGCCAGAGTGGAATGTGGAATGTAGAACTAGAAACTGGGGGTTGGGTATAGCACAACAGTTAGAAGCAGTGGCTTCCAGAGGACCCAGGTTTGATTCCCAGCACCTACACGGTGGCCCACAACTGTCTGCAACTCTAGTTCTAGGGAATCTGACACCCTCTTTTAGCCTTTGTGGGTAACAGGCACAGACATACACAAATCTGCATACACATTAAGTAAAAAAAAATTTAAATTAAAAAGTAACTAAATGTGGCAGAATTTTAGAAATCATACAACTAGGGGTTAGAGGAATAGGGGCTAACCTAAGTACTTATAGACATGAATGGTGTCTATAAAACTAAAGACAAAGGAAAATGTGCTTATGCACTACACCATATCTAAACTGGTGTTCTTTTCCTTCCTGTGAGGCTCCTGATCCTGGGCAGGGCTGGCTGCAGTATAGTTCAGGTTAGAGGTACTGTCCACCCCTCCCCTCCAAAGATGGCCCTCACTTTAGACAACCGTCCCAAGTTCAGTAACTTGGCTATCTTTGCAGTATTCTGCACATCTGAAAATGTTCTGTCAGATAAACTTCAGTTTTTAGGTTTAGGTTCTGGAAAAGTTATAAACAAATGATCTGTGTATATTCTTTCCTAGGCCTCCAAAAAGAAGGTTTATATGCTCTATAACCTGCAGCCAGACCGATCTGTGACTGGTGGAGCGTGGTACAGTGACCAGGATTTTGAATCTGAATTTGTTGAGGTGCTTAACCAACAGTGTTTCAAATTCCTACAAACTAAGGTGAGGTCATTAAGGAAACATCACAAGCCCTTTAAAAATCTGCTCCATGAAAGATTTACTCTTGTATGTCCTATTGTATAAGATTGAAAATCCTAAAATTGGAAATTTTTACTAAACAATTTGCTGCTGTTGGTGTAGCACATGTGTTAACTTCAAAAAGCACGAGCATGCATTCTTGCTTGAGCCTCTTGTTCTAACCTTACAGGCAGAAACAGCAAGAGAAAGTAAACAGAATCCAATGATTCAAAGAAACAGTTCCTTCGCTTCATCACATGAAGTGTGGAAGTACATCTGTGAATTGGGCATCAGTAAGGTCAGAACTTGCTTTCTACACTGTCATATAAGGTGTGTCTTCTTCACAAGGCTGTAGCTTACAGTATATTTGACCCAGCCCCCCTTTCAGGTACTCATTGTGCTGAACCCACTTTGGAAAAGTGCAGTCCTCAGGTAGGCAGAGGCCTTCATGGTGGTCTGACTCTGGCTGAACTGTTTTTGAGCACAGTCATGGCAGTGCCGTCACCGCCCACAGTCAAAACATGCTGATAAGTTCTTGATGATATGACAGTTGAGCTTGACACATTAGTGTCATTTATTGGTATGTTCTTACCTAATGAAATGTAAGTAGTACCATCAGCACCCTTTTGAAGACCTGTACATCAGTACACTGATGCGTTTCATGATCAGCAAAGAAGCCAAAGTGGCATTTGGACAAGTCATCTTCACTTCCTGGTTCCCAGATTTCTCACTGATAAAAAAAACTAGAAACTAGAAGTATTCCATGGCTCAGGTGTCTCTCTCTGCTTAAAGACATTTCAAGAATCTCTGTCAATCTGGAGGAAGAGGTAGGTGAACTTCAGAATTCCAGGACAGCCAGGACTACACAGAGAAACTTGTCTCATGAGAAAAAAGAAAAATCCCCATCAAATTCTTGGGGAGGGAGATTTCTTCTTTGTTTTGGGTAGGCTCTTTGTTTCTTTTGTTTTTTTAAGAATGGTGAGGACATCAGTCAGTGTGAGGCTCTGCATGAAGTTATACTTCTGTCCTTAGAATTTCATTGGCTAATTTAGACTGTTACTTACTCTTTGTGCCTTCCGTTACTCTTCCCCAGAACATGGCCTCTCACTTCTGAACAAGCATGACCTTTGTTGTTTGTAATACTTCTCTGAAAGGATGCTTCCTTGTCCTTCACGCATGCTTTCTAACGTCCCCGTCTCTAGGTAGAGTTGTCTATGGAGGACATAGAAACCATCCTGAACACACTCATTTATGATGGGAAAGTGGAGATGACGATCATTGCTGCAAAGGAAGGCACTGTCGGCAGTGTAGATGGACACATGAAACTGTACAGGGCAGTCAACCCAATCCTCCCACCTACAGGCTTAGTCCGGGCACCCTGTGGACTCTGCCCCGTAAGTAAAAGCTGCTTCATTTTGTACTTTTATCACCACCATGTGCAAATGCCACATAAAGAAACAACAGGCACACCAGGCTTCCCACCAGCAAGTGTCACCTGAGCTATTCAAACTGCCACAGACTCTTGATAGACAGATTGTTAATGAACAGGTCTTACATTATTTCTTGGAGCATTCAGGGTAGGGACATGTCCTTCTGTTCTTGACCCTGAAATGGATACATTTTCATCGGGACTAACCATTTCTTCTCTGTAGGGAGGGAAATGAAATTTGTTCAAAAGCTGCCACGAGCCAAACTTATTCTAATCCTTCTGTGCCCAGGGCACTAGTGGTGTTATTTCCCCTAAGGAGTGAGAGAACTTAGGGCTGAGTGTAACTCAGTGGCAGAGCACATGCTTAGTATACACATGGCCTTTCGCCCCAGGTTTTAACCCCTAGTGCCCTCCCCCCAGAACAGAAGGAACTTAGACTTAAGCAGAAAGTATCACTTTGAATAAGTATAATTTTTTTTCCATTATGCTTTAGCACTTTCACTCATTCATTCCTAGGTAGTTCGTAAACACGGTGCTGGACATCCTGAGGCTACAGAGAGCAAAAGCACTCCCTATCCCTGTGGCATTTATATTCTTGGGCTGCTATTCTGACATATTCATTATGATAACCCTTGTCTGTACCTATAAGCTCTCTGTGACCCAGTTTCAACTCCTAAACAAAAGCCAACATCCTGTACATCCTACTTTACACCCTGTAAAGATAGTTAAGCATAAAACAACCTTCAATTTAGTACAAATTAAGTTGTTCATAAGTATAGGACTCACTTTCTTCACTCCTATGAACCAGCTGATAGCCTTTTACCAGTGGGCAGGTGAATGGGATCACCTTTATGATGTGTTAATAGGCCTCCAAGCTAGGCAGGATAGTGTACACCTTTAATCCCAGCACTTGTTAGGCAGAGCTTTGTGAGTTTCAGACCTGCCTGTTCTACATAGGGAGTTCTAGGACAGCTGGGACTATATAGTGAGACACTGTCTCAAAAAAAACAAAAACAAGCTAAAAACAAAAAGCTTATAAAAAGTTGACTATGATCACAAGGTAGGCACTGTTATATTGTGCTCCTAAATACAGTCCTAATCCAATTCAAATAGTGTTTTCTTTTTTTCTTGTGTTAGTACTGCTTTAAATCAATGGGGGTTTAGGTATTTTAAAACTTCAATTTGAAGCCGGTGGTAGTGGCGGCGCAGGCCTTTAATCCCAGCTCTTGGGAGGCAGAGGCAGGTGGATCTTTGTGAGTTCGAGGCCAGCCTGGTCTACAGAAGGAGTACCAGGACAGCCTCCAAAGCTACAGAGAAACCCTGTCTCGAAAAACAAAACAAAAAAGCTTCAATTTGAATGTGAACTTTTTTTTGTGTTTCTTTTTAAGGTTTTTGATGACTGCCATGAAGGTGGTGAGATTTCACCATCTAATTGTATTTACATGACAGAGTGGCTCGAATTTTAATAGAGAGCTGTGAATTTTACTTACATTTGGCAAATGAATTACTTGGAGAGCAAATAATTCATGATAGAACATCCAGTTTCTTTGAAAGCATACTTCTCTATGATGGATACTGACTTGCTGCTATGAAAACGTATTTATTTCCGAAGACAGAACACAAAGCAGATGAAGTTTAATAAAGTTTAATAGGGAAGTCTCTTCAAGAAAATACCTTGAAGCTCTGGAAAAGAAGCCAGCAAACCTACACTGACCAAGTACTGCGATAACAGATAGAGCGTGAAGGTGACATGTAAAGTTACTTGTTAATGTCTTCATTGAAACTCATCATATCAGGTTTATTATCACCATTTCTGTTGGTTCGTTCTTGGGTTTCATTGAGAGGAACAGCTGACGATGGGATGTGTGCAGACTTGGGGCCTGAATGTAAAGTGGACATCCGTTTTCCACACTGTCCATTCCTCTTCACTTCAGCAGCACTGTTTCAGGAGAGCATGCTGCCACACTGACTTTGTGTCCAGGACAGGAGTTTAGATCAGTGGTAGTCCATCCTAAAGGGGATAATCTCCCAACTCCTTTGTTGTTAAGGTTGTAAATCTCTCTGTATGGCTTAACTGTACTACTTGCCAGAATTTTTTCCAGATTCTTACTTCATGCCTATAGTTTGACCCTCTCTGCCATCAGCATCAAATTCAAATTTTGTAATCTAATCCCCATGTGCGATGTGATAAGTAGGACCTTTGGAAGGTGACAGATCGTGAGTGTAGAGTCCTCATGAGTGGAATTAGGGCCTGTATAGAAGACACCCAAAGTGTTCTGTTGGCTCTTTATCATTCCAGAGCACAGGGGAAAGAATAAGGATGTGGGCCCTTGTTAGACAGTAAATCTACCAGCACATTCGACTTCCCAGCTAGAAGCAGTTCTCAGTCTGTAGGTTGCAACCCCTTTGGGGTTTGAACAACCCTTTTAAGGGTTTGTCTGAGATCTTCAGAAAACAGACATTTACTTTACAGTTCATAACAGTAGCAACATTATAGTTACACAGTAGCAAAAAAAATAATTTTATGGTTGGGATGAGGACAACATGAGGAACTGTATTAAAGGGTCGCAGCATTACGAAAGTTGAAAACCAGTGATCTATTGTGTTCTATCAAAGCAGATAGAAGAGATAGTATCTAATATTTTAACTAAACTAAAACTAGCTGGGTATGATGGTGCACTCTTTTAATCCTAGTACTTGCGAGGCAGAGGTAGGTAGATCTTGGTTAATTTGAGACCCTTGGTTAATTTGGCCTACATAGTGAGTTCCAGGACAGCCAGGGCTATAGAGAAAGAGACCCTGTCTCAAAAAATAACAGTAGATCATTGCCCTTCGTTTTGAGGGGTGAGAACCTGTCTTTTACAGTATTTTAGATCGGTCTCCTTTTTTCTTCTTCTTTTCTAAAAACATGGAGTGCTGTGTCTAAGCAGAAAAAAAATCACTGTAGTTTGTTAGTCCCAGCACTGGGCACTGGAAAACACTAATTGTCGTGCTGTTACACAGAAGATAGCCATATGCCTTTTATGGATCTCAGTGGTTGATATTTGCTTTCCCTCTCCCTCTCCCTCTCCCTCTCCTCTTTTGAGACAAAGTTTTTCTGTATGGCCCTGGCTATCCTGAAACTTTAGACCATGTTGACCTTGAATTCAGAGATCCACCTGCCTCTGCCTCTGAGTGCTGGAATTAAAGGACTCTTCTACTATGTCTACTTTACTTTGTGTCTTAAAAGTTTCTTTATGTGAAACATGGGCCAACTGAAAGGGTTCACACTCCACCCTTGTATTCTGTCTTTTTGTTTTATTTTGTTGGAGAAGAGTCTTACTCTACACTGGAGTTCACTTTATGGTCTAGGCTGGCCTTGAACTTATGGTGGTTCTGCTTTAGCCTCCCAAGTGCTGGGATTACAGGCATTTAGCAGCCATGCCTGGCTTTCTATTATCTTGGTAATTAGATACTAAGTTTTAAATTTGCTGTGTCCCTTGCCTCACCAGAATAAAAAGGTACTTGAAAAGGTTTTCTTCATAGCATTTTTTTTTACTGGGTAGTTTTTGTAGCATATTATTTAATCTATTAACTGAAAGGGATAGATAAATATAACAAAATGTAGCAACTGTGCTGTAAATAAAATGAATTTGCCTACAGAAATAAGCTGTTATCCTTGGCCTCTAAAATCATGGTGCCACAAAGCAAAACTGCAGATGAAGTCCAGATACTTCAGTCTTTCTCAGTATTACGTATTTTGCTTACCTGAGAACATATACTCTAGTCTCTTTAAAAGTGGCCCATAAAAAGAAAATTAGACATTGCCAGTCATGGTGGTGCATGCCTTTAATTTCAGCACTTGGGAGACAGGCAGGTCCAGGCGGATCTCTTGAGTTCAAGGCCAGCCTGATCCTACAGAGAGAGTTCCAGGACAGCCAGGGATACACAGAGAAACCTGTCTCGGAAAAACAAAACAAATTGACATAAGTCCACTTAATGGTTTTTCATGGATTCTCACGTGAAACTCCCAATTTGACAATAAATGTTTTTTATATAAGGGTTTTGATAGTAATGAATTAAGCAAAGTAGTCAAACAATTCAGTCAATCCCATGGTGGGACACACAGACGGTATTAGGAGGCCTTTGGCCCAACCATAAGCTCAACAGTGAAGAGAAGAAAAGTGGTTTTGGATTTACTATATGGCAGGTGAAGGATGAATGCAAAATATGTGCCCTGCAGCAGTGTGGTTCAGTAAGACAGAATCTTGAACTCCATCCTGCCTCTACCTCCCTCCTGCTGGGTTAGAGGTATGCACCATAACATCTGGCCAAGTAGCATTTTCTATCATGATGGAAATATTTGGTATTTGGTGTTTAGTACAGTAACCTCAAGCCAGCTGGCTGGCCAGCACTTGAAACAAGAGATTAAACAACTAAGGTTTGACTTAGTTGCTTTTGGATACTGCTTGTACTAGACAGCATAGCCAACAGAGAACTCACTTGTATGCTCTCCCTCAGGGATTACTGAGTCTTATACTGAAATGTAGTAGTTTATAATTAAGATTTTAAGCAACTCATTTTAATCATTTTAAGTGTAGGAAAAACACAAATTAATTTAAAAACATTAATAATTATATATAATGTAAGCAGACTTTTTAGAGTGATTGAACCAAACCTATAATCCAACTTTGAGTGTACTTGAATTTGAGATTAGTGATTATTTACTCTGCTTTTGTTTTTGAATTCTTAAAAAGTTATTAATTTACATAAATAACATTAGTTCACAACTTGTTTTCTGCCACAGGATTTGCCAGGTAGTGGTGGCACACACCTTTAATCCCAGCACTCGGAAGGCAGAGTTTGAGGTCAGCCTAGTCTACAGAGCAAATTCTAGGACAGACAGAGCTGTTAAACAGAGGAACCCTGCCTCAGAAAACATGTGTGTGTGTGTGTGTGTGTGTGTGTGTGTGTGTGTGTGTGTGTGTGTGTATGCATTTGATAACTATTCCTGATATTATCCATTCCCATGTGAACACTTACAGTAGACCAGTATGATTGTCTTTCCTCCAAAGACACCTATTGTTTAAATAATCTGTACTAACTTATATTACATTTAGAAACCCCCAAATCATTTCACAACAGCTTTGTAATCGATCTAGGGATAAATGTGGAAAATTACATTTCTGTAACAGTCACAGGTTCTGTGTCATCAAGTTTATGTATACTGGAGATCTTTGGCATCACAACAGTCAGAAAATCCTGGGAAATAAAAGTTTTATTTACTTTTTTTACATATGATAGAAGTACAGTAGAAACATGAGTGAAATGTCATTTTGTACATCAAATAATATGCTAATATAAAAGTACATTTATAAGAAGGGGTTATTTTTTTAGTGAGAGTATAAAAAAATCTTGGAATGATGCTTGAATGATCTCTAGAAGTTAAGAGGTTAAACTCTTTACAGAATTAAACCTGCATTGTGGAAAAATTCTTTTTGAAGATACTTAAAACTTAACAGTACAGATTGTTCCCTTGTTTTCCACCCTTCAGCATTACTTTCTTTTGGTTATCTTAGGCTTTCTTTCCTTCCTTTTTTTTTTTTGAGACAGGGTTTCTCTGTGTAGCCCTGGCTGTCCTAGAACTTGCTCTGTAGACCAGGCTGGCCTGGAGCTCTTTTTTTTGGTTTTTCGAGACAGGGTTTCTCTGTGTAGCCAGAGCCTCTCCTGGCACTGGCTTTGGAGACCAGGCTGGCCTCGAACTCACAGAGATTCACCTGTCTCTGCCTCCTGAGTGCTGGGATTAAAGGTGTGTACCATCACTGCCTGTATTTCATAGAGAATCTAAAATGTTTATGACTGAGCTCACAAATGGATGACCTGGTCTTTGTCTTGTAGCTTTTGCAAATCTTTCAATTATAGTGTTGCCAGCTACCATAATTCATGGTAGGGATTGTATATACATACATATATATATTCCCCAGCTTAAAAAAAGACAAACATACTTGTCACATTTCTATAAAGCAACACTCCCATATGACCTAATCCTGCTAGGCTTACTGAAGTTGGTATACAGGTGGCAGGCTATGCAGATTATCTGTCCCCTGCAGCTTCCTGACACACTATCCTTATATGCTGGTCTCTCAACCTGTCAGAAGGACCTGGAGACTGGGGCAGATTCAGGGGTTTCAGTGATGAAGATCTAAGTTTGAGTTTACTATCTTGAGAGAGCTTGAAATAGCAGCTAGAATTGTAAGAACATTTGGGACCTTTAATCATGTTTTCTTCCCCCAGTAGGAGAAAATTTTTATTTTAAAAAGGAAAAGGTGTCACTCATACACTTTGCATGAAAACCTGTTTAGGTTTTCTTTCTTTTTTCTTTTGAGACAGAGTTTTGCTAAATATTTAGCCTAGGGAGGCCTCAAATTCAAAATCCACCTTCAGCTTTCCAAGTCCTGGGGTCACAGGAGTGGGTCACACCTTGCAAAGGTTACTGACTTATAATTTGGAATGAGATTCAGGATGCCAGGGTCTACTTGCTGCTTCTTTTCTGAGGCAGGGTAGGCAGGGTCAGGCTGGCATTCACCTGGTCCCTTGCTTTCTCCTCTAAAAGTGCTGGGATTATAGGGACACAGCTCCATTTCTGGTTCTACCTCTGACTTACGCTCTCGATTAACAGGATGGCTAAACTCTGTCCCCCATCAAGTAGGAATGTACTGCCGTAGTTACGGCTTTTCAAGATTTAAGTTCTATGGGGACTGAAAATGCTAGTAACCTAGTGTATGTTCAAACAGGCTTGTTTTCCAGGCACTTCTGTAGCTTAACTGGACATTTCATGCCTAGTACTGTGTGGTAATAGATGCTATTCTACCCCATTCTGGCATGCTACAAAGCAGGAGTCATCCTGACTATTCTGGCACTTTTAGCATAGACTTCACCACACTAATCAGTTCATGAAACTCTGTGTTCTGAAAGTGACCACGGTTGTCGAATTTGTACAATTTGGCGTTCAGCCTATCTGCCACTTCTGCTTGTTCCTTCCAGGGAAGGAAGGGGTCATCAGTGGAGCCAAACTGTACAATGTGAGGGCAGTTGGCCTTGATCTTCTCCCACTGCCAGGGGCGGCTAAAGTACCCTGTAGGAAAAAAAAAATACCCTATCGATACACATGAATTGTCACCTAGACATCCGAAAATGTCTAGTGGGTGCCCTCACAGAAGTGCAAAGGACCAGGGGCTTGAGGTCAGAACAGTTCTTTGGTTTTCCTATCTGTAGAGCTGGATACCATACTTGCCAAGGCAAAGAAAGAGGCTCAAATAAAAGCAGATCCTGGGATTCATTCTAGACTTCAGGTTGGAAGAGACATCTATCTTACCTCCAAAGGTAGGTGGAAACTCTCTCATTTGCTATTAAATTTATCTTTCTGGGGCTATCGGAGACTACTTTGTAACTTGAGCAGTCTGTTTTCTGTCTAGGGAAGGGCTTTCCTGGGTGTTCTCCCCAAAGACTTACCACTTGCACGCTCGTTTTCATCTCCCAAGTCTGATGTGTATGCAGACACCAATACAAGACCATAAACCTGATGTGTCTCTGCATACCTGTGATGAGAAAGATAGTGTCAGTGACACATGGTGTTATTAAATCTGAAAAGTAGTAAGCTATCTGATATAGTTCACAGGAAGGCAGTATGTGCTATTGAGACAGAAAACAATAAGAAAAAGTCTCAGTAAATGACATATGCATGCATCCACCTTTAGTATTCATCACATTACTTAATTGGTCGCATTCTGATGCACATTCCTGGCTCAACCCCAGAGCATGGAATTCAGAGAAATGGGATTAAGGCCCAGGAACCTGCAATTTAAGAAAACCTGGATAATGCCAGAAAAGTATTGTATTGCCCCATTTACATGCATTCTCATTTGTGTTGTATTACAATTGTCCCCACTCCCAGACAAACGATCATTGGCTCCTTAAGGGCAGGAAAAGCCTTACTGCTCTCTGAACAGCAATCTGCAAGTACACCACCAGCTCATTAGTTGTAGATAGATGCCAAGAGCAGACTAAGGAAAGATGTGAGACTCTGAAGAAGCTCTTGTGCTAGGAAATGTTTAGGGCTACAGTCTCATTCTTGAGAATACCTCCCTCCACCCAAGCTGGTTACTCAAGAAAAGAAGCACCCAGATTAATTAAGGCTGCCACACTTACCTTAATATATGTCCCCTACAAATGACCTTAGTACCATTATTGCACACAATGAATTTAGCACTGCCTATATTCTTTATAAAGGAGTTTAGGTCAGTTCCTCAAACTGAATTCATTTTCTCACAGTTAGACTGAGATTAAATACTTTTGGCAAGATAGCCTTCCCATCACTTCAGGGACACAGGTACTAAATTTGATCACTTGTTAAAGTATTTCCAGCACTTTATATTGAAAAAGCTCAATATCCCTTAGTAATAAGTCAGCTAGTGTGTGTGTCCCTTATGATTGTACTAGTTCCTATTTCTCCACACACTTACACTGATGATTTGGGTATCATTTTTCTTTGCCTCTCTTAACTTTAGAAGTCAATTCTTAGAAGGTTGCTGAAAATCCTAATAAATCCAGAGGGCTTATAAAAATACTACATCTTTAATCAATGGCTGGTAAACAAAAGGACAGTATCCTACAACTTTTGAGGTCACTGTTCTGCATGCATGCTTGTAAATACCCCTTTACTATGACTGTACCATAATTCACTGATTCTATGCTAAAACACATTATTATCCCCAGTGGTGATATATTATTTACAATTTATTAAAGCTTGCCTGAGGATTCAGAAGCAAAGCTAGCCACAAGCCACAGAAGTCAGGCAATGGTGATAAACACCTTTAATCCCAGCAGCCATACTTGCAAACCATAGAGCCAGCCACTGGTGGCACACACCTTAAATCTCAGGATTCAGGCAGATAGATCTGTGAGTTCAAGGCCACTCTGGCCTACACAAGAGTGAAGAGTAACAGAGCTCATGCCTTTAATCCCAGCACTTGAGGAATATAAAAATAGGAGCAGATCCTGGGTCAGGAGATTTATTCTCCAGCCACACTGAGGAGAGGACAGCCCTTTCAGCCTGAGATAGAGGTTAAGAACTAGTGGCTAGCTGCTTTGCTTTTCTGATCTTCAGCTTGATGCTTACATATGATCACATGCCTTTAATCCCAGCACTGGGGAGGTGGAGACAGGAGTGATATGGCTAGATGGAGAAAGAAATATAAGGAGGAGGAGACAGGAACTCTGAGATTTTGCCTCTGAGGATTTGTGTTGACAGGACTGCCATTTCAGTTTGGTAGAGGTAAGAGCTACTGACTTGGCTGCTTTGCTTCTCTGATCTTCAGCTTGAAGCTTAAATCCCAAAATCTGTCTCTGGGTCTTTTATTTTTCATGCTACAATCCCAATCTCCTTGACCTGTGTAGCGGAAAGGTTATACAATTTAGCAAGATTTCATGACATACAATTCATATGGTATTTGAATTGAAACAGTCTTTGTTACCAGGGCAGGAAATATGGAAGAAGTTCAACCTGATAAAGCTTTGCCAGCTAATTCCTTACCCCCTAGGCTAGTGGGGAAGATAGGAGATTTTGGTAGAAGCAAATGTGTGTACATGTAAATCCCAAGGATTAGCCGGTTGTAGGCAGGTAGGGGGAATCTCTATCTTTAGGAGGTATTTATTGAACATCTACTATATCAGGGTCTTTCCAAGGCACTTCGATGTCTTATCAGTGAACAAAGTCCCACCTTCATGCAGCTGCCATTCTATTAATAGGGGTAGACAAGAAATCAATGTATGTTGGATGATAAAGCTCTATAGGTAATAAAATATAAAGGAGATAGGAGGCAGTAGGGCGAGGCTGCTCTTTTATATGGAGTTATTAAAGATCTCACCCAAAATGGGACATTCAAGGAAAGACACATTAAGAGAAAGCCAGGCAGCTTTAAGATGGTGTCCTTGCTAGAAGGCTGAGCAGGATAAGGCAAGTGTATACTTGGCATATTCCAGGAACTACACTGACGTCAGTGGGCCTGGCTGGGAGAAGAGAAGAGGTGACGGGAGACAGAGCTGAGTAACAGGAAGCTTTCGAGCTATAGAAACTTTGAAAGGATCACTGCACCCAGTATAAAAGCAATCTGTTTCTTTCAATCCCTTAACAAACAAGGAAGAAATTAGGGCAGATTATGGTACCACTTTTGAGGTCAGCATTGTTCCCCCTACAATGGAAACTTAAGAAACAACTATTTCCCAAGGAAGCATGGCTACAACCCACACCAGGGGTAGCAATTCAACAGTCCTACCTCATAGCCGCAATGGCCCCGGAGCTGTGGCCTATGATGATGGTCTTCTCATCACAGTGCAGCTCTGTCTCCATGAAGGGCAGCCAGATGCTCTCTCGGGCTGTGACTGTGTTCAGGGTAAAACAGTCTGGTACTCAGAGGGGCGGTCTGTAAGTGAAGCTGTCCCACTTCTAACAAACAGCAGCTCACTGCTTTTAAACTGAGGCTGTTGTAGTAGACTTCTGTACTGTGGTTTTAGGAAGGAGTTTTGCTTCTCCCACCATGTTCTTATATTAAATAATAATAATAATAATAATAGATTACAACTGAAGTCAAGATTCCCCCTACCCATTTTTCATTTTTTGAGTAAGAGCCTCACTAAGTAGCAAAGACTAGTCTGTAATTTGTTGTGTAGTCCATATCAAAATTTCCTTGCCTCTGGCTCCCAATTATCAGGATTAAAGGCATGTACCACCATCACTGGCCTCAACTTTGACATTTTCATGTAAAAATTTAAACTTGACAAACAAACACCCCCAAGCTGGAGCTACAGTTCAGGGGCAGAGTGCTTGCCCAGGTTTGGTCTCAGCACTGAGAAAAACACACACACACAAACTCTTGACAACATTCTAAAACCCGTGTATAATATATATCATTTCTTTCCTGAACTAAGATGCACCCATAACAAAAGGGGCAATCTTGTAATTTTAAATATTTAGGAACCCAACTAGATTCTGTAAGGTTTTATCTGTTTTACCTAAATTTTGCCTGAAAATGCCTGTGTACACTTAACAAGGAAAATAAAGTCGCTAGCTCACAAAGTTAAAAATTAAATTTTACTATGCCCAGGTGCTTTTCTTTTTCTTCTATACACCTGCCTCTTAGAGCACCTTGCTTTACTGGTTCTTAGTACGAATTCATCTTTTTTTTTTTTTTTTAAGGCTGTGTATGCTTTTTTCTTAAGTACTTTATTTTTATCTGTATATCTATGCACTGCTTATACGCCCATGCCTTTTGAGACCAGAGAGTGATTTGAATTCCCCGGACTAAAGTTACAGATGATTATAAACTATCATGTGGGTGCTGGGAATTAAACCTGGGTCCTCTGGAAGAGCAGCCAGTGCACTTAACCAGAGAGTCATCTCTCCAGCCCCTTATCTTTGTTCTTGCACTACGACACTCTTGCTTCCTAGCCCCTCACTCCCCACCCCCCATATGGTAAGCTCAAAATCTAACAGATAAGGCTTTTCAAAAACAAGTTTAAAACTTACTTGGGTCAGGCATGTTTTTAGCCAAACACTGGAAACCAGGAATCTGAGATATAAAGAGGAAGAAAAAGCTTTACTAAAGAGCTTAATACAACTAAAACTTTGAAAAAAAAATGTGACACTTGATATGATCTTGCTCAATTCAGTAAATATTTGCTGATATTATGAAATGAAATGGATTAAGTTGTGTTAAATATGAGTATATATCCTATAGATAGTTCTCTATTAGTTTTATAGAACACAGAGACCTGCGTCTACACTTGCAATCCATGCTTATTTCCAAGGCATGGACCTACAGAGAAGGCCTAAGTGAATGTGCTAAAGACAGAATGACCTGAGCCAAATAGAAAGTAAAAAGTAATTTAGAGGCACCATAGAGAAAGTTGGTTATCCCATCCCATTGGCCATTTTCCAGCTCAACCTTTGAGTTGGTAGCTTTGTCAAAAGCTTTCAGCCACAACCCTTAAATTTTATTCCAAACGGATTTCTATTTTCTCTTAAAATTCTATTCTAGAGGCCAAAGTAGGAAACTGTCTAACTGCTGGATTATGGAAGGGGGCTTTTCTTTTCTTTTCTTAAAAGTCAAACAGCACAGGACAAGCTAGGGTGCAATGCTGTTTCTATAAAGCTCACAAAGAAGCCAAATTAAACAATATTATACAAGATTATACACATGGGCTCTAAATATACTTTAAGTTTTAAAAGGTGTAGCAAGAGGGCCAGAAAAACAGCTCGGCTGGCAAAGGCACTTGCAGTGCAAGCCTGGTCACTCGAGATCGATTCCCAGACCCATGTAAAAGGTAGAAAGAGAACTGATCACACAGTTGTTTTCTTACCTCCACATGGGCCTTCTGCATACAGTAATTTAAAGAGAAGCAAAATGAGCTTCAGACAGTCATAGGGATGGGACAGGAGGTAGACAGATTAGTTAGAAGATAGTGACAATGTTCCAGAGTTTAATTTGGGCTGAGAGTGTAGCTCAATGGTACAGGACACACAAAGACGCTTTGGGCTTGGATAGCACCTAATTTTTATTTCTCTGTTTGGTAGCTTATTATACGTTATATACATCCTTTGTATAAACTACATGTCACATGGTGAATTTAAAAAAAAAAACTAAAGCAATGAATATAAAAAAATTATCTGGGAAGTTTCGATTTTGAACTCACAGCAGCGTGTAGGGAGGGAGTGTTCTCTATAGTTGTAGAACAGGGTTCCTTTCAGTATCAAAAACTGAGCCCTCAGCTTTTTGAGCTGCTTCGCCAGGCATGATCCTGGCCATTAGTTTAAATCTAAGACTAAGCAGTATCGTCATCGTCGAGGACTCACACCCTGGGCTCATCTGGAGGAGGGTGGGCACAGGCTCGAGTCTGGCCCTCCGTCCGCCCTCCCTCTGCTCCGCACCAAGCTGACCGCAGAGCAGGGACTGACATTCCTTACCTGCTCTAGCCTCTTTCTCACCCAGCCGTACCAGCCTTGGGTGGCTACATCCCCGCCTCCGTTCCCGGGAACAATCACTGCCTTGACAGGGAACGCCATGAACGCAGTCGCAAGATACCCCCTGCCCAGCTCAGACCAAGAGCACTAGAGCCTAGACTGCATCCGGCCCGGAGCCCGCACAGAGGCCTTCTGGGAATTGTAGTTCTCGGATACCTGCAGGTCCTCACCCTCTTTGTTTATAGCATAGGCTGCCAAACTCAAACCCTGTGAATTACCATCAAATTTCAATCATATTTGACTTCCCTTTTCCAGTGTCCTCATACTCCAACTCCCTTATGAAGTACTGGCAACAATATGCTCATAATGTGTTATCTTTTTATTAGGCATACCAAAGGAAGGATTTTTCTCCCTAGTGAATTTTCATTAGTTTAAGATAGTCTCATTATGTAGCCCCCTACTGGCCTGGGGCTCTCTATGTAGACCACATAGATCCGCCTGCCTCTGCCTCTTAAGGCATTAAAGGAATATGTCAGCATTAAAGGAATATGTCAGCAAGAATATTTTATTATTTATGTGTATGTACACCACATACATGGGTGTACCTAAGGACTTCAGAAGAGGGTGTTGGGTTCCCTGGAGCTGGAAGTAGCAACTGTGAGTGCTGGGAATCGAACTCCAATATTCTGAAAGAGCAGCAAGTGCACTTAATGACTGAGCCACCTCTCCAGCCCCATTTTAATTTTTTTCTATTATTGTGTGTATACACACATGATGTGTGTATATTTGAGCATAGATGAGTGTGTGTGCAGAGGTCAGAGGACAACTTGAAGGAATCCTTTCTCTCATTCCATCAAGTAGGTCCTAGAGATTGAACTCAGGTTGTCCAACCCGATTGCTGCTAGCTTTCTTCACTCTTACACAGTCTAGGGCCCTGCTCATGAAATGGGACTGCCCACATTCGGGGTGGGTCTTTCTACCGCAATTAACTACATGAAGACAGTCTCCCACAGACAGGCCTTCGGGTAACCTGATCTAGATTAATCCTCATTAAGAACCTTTTCAGTTGATTCTGGGTTGTGGCTAGTTGACAATTAAAACCAGAGTTTTAATTGTCAATGAAACCAGAGCAAGAGGGAAGGAAAGGACACTTTGCATAAGGTGTGAGGCTGGCAAACTAAGAAAAGAATGCAGAACTAGTTGTCTCATGTCTTTTTCTTGAGGCTTTTTATTGAGGTGGGCATGAAAACTGTATTCTGCTAAGAATAATGTGAGCCTTGGGCATGGAAATGATGCTCAAATCTTCCCAGGCCACTTCAGGAAGAAATAGCCACATTCTATTTTTTTTATATTGTGTGTATGTGTTGTGTGTGTGTGTGTAAACCAGAGGTCAATGCAGGGTATCTTCTATCATTTTTCACTTTACATTTGGTTTTTGAGACAAGATCTATCTGTGAACTCAGATGTCACTGATTAGCAAGACTAGCTGGCCAGCAAGCTCACTCTGTCTTCTGCTCTCTAGATGTTGGACTGCGTCTTTGGTATCTTGTGCTATCCACTGCAAAGGAAGCTCCACTTTCACAGATTCATGCAACAGCCTTTCAGGACTTCTTTGCAGAGAATACAACCCTGCCATACAGTGTTAGTTTTAGCAGCTTCTTAGAACTTGGAGCAAGTCTCCATGTCCCCTCATTTCAATTATTTATTTATTTTTAGATGGGGTCTCATTAGATGCTTCTGTAAGGCCAGCTTTCAGTAGCTAAGGAACTAAAGGAGAAAAGTGGATAATCACACAATTGGCTTTTTTATCTTAAAGAGTAAAACTTAATTCTCTGGGACCAGTGAGGGGACAAAACTTAATTTTCTGGGGCCGGTAAAAAGGGGGAAACACACACACACACACACACACACACACACACACACACACACACACACACACACGCACGCACGCACGCACGCACACGATGGGAGATGTCCTTCTGTATGCTTTGAATATATGTTTCTCTTATTGGTTGATGAATAAATGCTGATCAGCCAGTAGCCAGGCAGGGAGTATAGGCAGGGCTACCAGATGAAGAGAATGCTGGGAAGATGAAGGCCAGAGAGATGCCATGTAGCCGCCATAGTAGTAACATGCCTAAGCATTATGAGTAAGCCACAGCCTTGTGGCAATGCATAGTTTAATAGAAATGGATTAATAATTAAGAGAGAGCTAGCCAATAAGAAGCCTGAGCCATTGGCCAAACAGTTTATAATTAACATAAGCTTCTGCATGTTTATTTGACTGGGCTGCGGGACTGGGCTAGACAGAAAGTCCATCATTACACACACACACACCCCTTCAACTTGTCAGGCCTCTCTCTTTTATTTTTTCCCTTCCTCCTTCCTGATGCCCTCTTACATCTTCCCTGGTGTTCTTCTAACTTTTCCTTTTGTCTTCCTCCAACTCTATTTTTCCCCTTACAGCTTATATACCCCAGCAAAATCAAGTAATATACAAATTACAATGTGATTACATTCTATATTTAAGTGAATGATACAAGTTTAAAAAAAAGCATGTTTTCCCATATCCCTTACATGATTAAACATTTTATGTATTACAGGTGAAAAAGAAATTATTCCCAAGGACCCACATACACTCATGTCTACGCAACTTGTTATAGATTAACAAAGTGTCAGCAGGCAAGGTATTTTTTTTCAGCCAGTTCTTTTACTGGCAGGCTGCATTTTGCAGTTACAAAGAAAGGATCAATCATTTTACTATTTATCTCAAAAGGTAATCTTATAAAAAACCCTTAAAAGAATCACAATTCTGGACTCTTAGATATGAAAAACAGTCATTTCCACTTTAAATCCTCAGGGTGTATACACACTCTTGTGATACATTATGATTCATTAAAACTTGCCCAAGGATTCAGAAAACAAAGTCAGCCTCAAACTATAGAGATCAGGCAGTGATGATACACACCTTTAATTCCAGCAGCCAGGAGCTGGAGGTGGTGGTACCCACCTTTAATCCTGGGACTGAGGATTAAGAGGTAGACAGATCTCCGTGAGTCCAAGGCCACCCAGATCTACACAAGACTGATCCAGTCCTAAAGAGAAACAGCTTACACAAAGATGATCTCAGCACCTGGGATTGCACACCTTTAATCCCAGAACTAGAGTGGTATAAAAGATAGGAGCAGGGTCTTCAGTATTCAGTATGAGGCATTCATTCTCCAGCCACGCTGAGGATAGGAAGACATTGAAGTCTCAGGATTCTCCAGCCATGCTGAGAAGAGGCTTCAGTCTGAGATTTGATGGGCCACGATCAGCCTTTTCAGTCTGAGGTAAAGTGAGAGCTAGTGCCCAGCTGCTTTGCTTTTCTGATCTTCAGCTTGAAGTTGAACTCTGACATCTGTCTCTGGATCTTTTATTTATTGTGCTACATACTCATAAACAGTTTCTTATTAAATAATATCAGGAATCTGAAGGCAGAAATGGGTATAAGAAATTAATCATTGCCTTTGATCACCAACCTATCCTAGCAAAAAAGGCAATCAGATAGTAATAACTGGGCTGCCTTTGTTTTTGTTCCCTGACCTCAACAAGTCCCTTGCTCAACTATCAAAATTTTGCCCTTTTAAACTTTATATTGTTCAAGATTTTCTACATTAAAGTCATTAACAAAAACATCTTCACCTAACTAACATGTCTAACTAACATGTGGCCGAATCATTAATCTGCTCCAGCAGTGTCTTACTTAGGGTTTTTATTGCTATAAAGAGATACCATGACCACAGCAACTCTTATAAAGAAAAACATTTAATTGAGGTGGCAGCTTACAGCTCAGAGGTTCAGCCCATTATCATGGCAGAGAGTGTGGTGGTGTGCAGGCAAACATGGTGCTGGAGATGTCACTGAGAATCCTACATCTTGCAAGCAACAGGAAGTTGACTGCTACACTAGGCAGTATCTTGAGCATATGTGAGACCTCAAAGCCTGCCTCCACAGTGACACACTTCAACAAGACCACATCTCCTAATAGTGCCACTCCCTATGAGATTATGGATGCCAATTACATTCAAACTACCACAAGCAGCAATGCTTGGAAGAAGTCAATTGCTATTATTGTAAGTACCATTAACACTGCCTAGTCTGGGGCTAGAAACCCCCTTAAAGTTTTCATACAACCCATTAGATTATGAGGAATGTGGTGACTGTGAGGACAATAAATAGAGCTATGCTCAATATCTGCATAGCAGAACACATAGTCCTCAGGGCTCTGCCTCTCCACTGTTCATTTGGTGTGGTTTTGCTGACTTCCCAGGTGTGTCCTGAGTTCCAATGCTGCTTGCTGTTCTTCTCACATGCCCCTTACACTTGACAATTAGGTAGCTTTGGCTAGGCTGGAACTCATTATATAGATTAGGCTGGTTTTGAACTCACAGTGATCCTCCTACTTCTGCCTCTTGAGTGCTGAGATTAAAGACATGTGCCACCATGCCTAGAAAATCCCTTTTACTGTTATATTTTGCATGCTAACAAAGTCAACACCATGTGGACACTTAACACCAAATTCTGCTGCTAATTTGAGATGTAGGCAGACCCTGATAGACCACAGATGCCATGGCTTCTACATGCCTTGGAGGGTGAAACTGGGAAAGCATTTCCCTTGGTAGCCGTTCCCCAGCAGGGAATCCCTGCAGGGGTGGAAGCATTCTTAGTTCAGGATCTCTCCTTTTAAATAAATTTGTAGTTTTACAAGCTGGAACTTTCAATAGGTGGGATCTGAACCACAGGGCATATTTCTTATTGCTCCAGTGTACTGGGGTTTGCATTAATAGTGCCCCTTCCTCCTTCCCAACCTCCCTTCCTCCCTTCCTTCCTCCCTCCCTCCCTCCCTCCCTCCCTCCCTTGCTCCTTCCCTCGCTCCTTCCTTCCCTTTCTCATTTTTTTTTGTTTTGTTTTTTGAGACAGGGTTTCTCTATGTTGCAGCTCTGGCTATCCTGGAACTGAACTTGTAGGTCATGTTGGCCTTGAACTCACAGAGATCCAACTACCTCTGCATCCTGAGTGCTGGGATAAAAGGAATGTGCTGCCACTGCTTAGTGACAATCTCTTTTTAATTACAGGTACTTTTCCACATCTGAAATTTATCATGTTCATGCTCTTTTTTCCTATTTTTATTA